CCCCCCAGGAGAACAAAAAGCAATAATAAAACTTTTTTTCCTTTTTATACTGGACTGCTGGCTCATGGTATTTGTTGCCCTATGATACTTTATATCATACATTTAACTTAAAAACTGCTACTTATATTTCTAAATATTTATTTTTTTAAATAAAACAGATTAATAGCATAGTCAGTGTGTGTGTCTCTGGGTGTGTGCAAAATACTTAAATGTTTTTAAACCACTAAGTGATTTGACATGTTATTTTAAAATTTGCTCACACAAATAATTTGCCCAATTATGTCATAAGAAAGTTATACCAAACATTTATGGAACAACTAATTCTAATATTATACGTTCTTTTTTAATGACTGGCAAAACAGATCATTCCCTAACTCATTTTCATGAGGCTAATGTAATCTTGCCAACCAAGTAAGTAAAATTGGAGAAAAGAAAATTGGAACCAATCTCACTTGTGACTATAGAGGCAAACAGCTAAAAAAACACACATTCACAATCAAATCCATCTATGTATGAAACAAATGGTGGCTGGGATCTCAAAGGAGTTTCTAGGGAATAGCTATTCTCTTTCTTTCCCAGGATCTGAACTCGCTGAGGAATAAAAGTTGGTGTCTCCTTTATGGAGACCATGATATCACCATTAGATGCTTGGGGGAAAAACTTTATTAGTTAAGTTACTCGCTGTCAATGAACACCATAACTAGACAAGCTTATTCACCCAGTCTTGGTGGCAGTGACCGGGAGAGGCCTCTTGTACATTCTGGGGGAGCTGCCTCTGGGATGCAGGGGAACGTGGGCTTCAGCAGGCTGGCTGCTGCCGAGAGGGTAAGGACAGAGTAAAGCATGTGGTTGTTCCTAGATTTAGCAATCAGCTATGTTACTCCACTTCCCAGCAAGTGAGTGGATAAAGTGGGGAGAGGGAGACCACGATTACACAAACTGAGGTCCCTTTGCAAGGAAAGAACTTCAGGAGCAAGAGAAAAATGTGCTTTTCATCTGCAACCAAGACCAAGTTGTATAAACATTATATTTTCCCCCAATATTGATTTATAATTCAATGTCATTCCAATCAAATGTTTGAGAGAATTTTATGTGCACCTTCACAAACTTATAAGATGTATATGGAAGAAAAAAGAGCTAAAAATAGCTAAGGGATTTTAAAGGAAAACAAAGCAATAACCTGTTTTACCAGATACACACAGAGATAATACTAAAGACAGTATTATGAGTGGTACTAGTGTGAGAGCAGACAAATAGATCAATGGAACTGAGAAAAAAAAATTATAAACAGGCCCACAAATCTATGGAGGCTTAATGCATGAAAACAGAAAATATACATCAATGAATAAAGTCCATTAAATTGTGGTGTTATGAATGTTTAAACATATGAAAAAATAATATCTTATTCCTACTTTATAGTTTATAAAAATCAATTCCAAAGGGATTAAATATTTAAATGGTAAAAGTTGAGATGAAAACAGGAGATTATTTATCACATAGATATGCAGAAAAATTTAAATAGGACATGAATGTACCAAACGCAAAACACTGAAAATTAAACTATATCTAAATTAAAAATACCAATGTTATAAAAAAGAAAAGACTGGATATTGACTGGAAATTTACTCAGGTAAATTTGTTTGCAACATATAAATGTCAAAGAGTTAGTATTCAGTATATATAAATAATTTCTGTAAATTACCCCAAGGGAAATTCACAAAAGATATGATCAAGATTATTATAGAAGAGAAAACCTAAATAGTCAATAGAAATATGGAAATATACACAACTCACTAGTAATCAGGCAATTGCATATTAATACTGTATTGAAATATAATTTCATACAGTCTAAAATGCAATTTTGGTGAGACTATAGCATCATACATTTCTGGTGGGAAAGGAAATTAATACAGACATGTTGGAGGCAAATTAGTAAAATTAAATACATTCCTCTCTATCATCCAGAATTTCCATTATAGGTATATATTCTAGAAAAATTTTGACCACATAAACAAAGACACACACACATTTAAGTATATGTATGAATATGTATACGTATAAATATACACACACAAGGATGTTCACAGAAGCATTGTGCTTCATAGAAAAGAATATAAACAAATCACTGAAAATTCAGTCAACTGGTGCTACAACATCTATGGTTAAATCTCTCAAACAGGATGCTGAGTAATAAAAAGCAAGTTGCAAAAGTTAGATGGTGGCTACACAAATGGTTGTTCCATGATCTTAAATGTATTTTTATACACCTTAAATATCGTGCAAAAACAAATTCCTTATAAAGAAAAAACCACATCTCCAACACGTCAGTAGAGGGCTCTTTTACTTTGATATCAGTAATGCCATGCAGAGCTGTAGCTCCACAGATGAGATGCTCAGCTTTAGATAAGCATGTGCCTTTAGTGGTGGGGAATATAGCAGATTAAACCTTTTGGTTGACGTGGACAATCTGATTCTCAAATATCTTGAGAAATAAACAGAAATATCTTGAGATAACTCTGTAGTGATAGAACAAGAAACCATTCTCTTCAATTTCAACATTTAGTGAGGGCTAAGGGCCAACACGTTTGTATAAGTTGCCTCTTCAGGTAAACTTGCAAATTAAAATAGATCGAATTCAGCCCTTGTAAGGAGACTTCTATCCAGTGGGTAAAAGCACTTGCCAGAGGAAGCTCCAACGGATCATGGGTCCACTTAAATTAGAATCTCGATAGCGTAATGACATTTTCCATATCAATTTAATAATTTTGAATTAAAATGTCTGCCATTTTTTGAGCTTTGGAACACAACACACACACACACACACACACACACACACACACACACACACACGTCAAGTACCTGAGTATTTTGAACATGCTTAACCTATACTGAACCCTGGTGCTTCTGAAGCTTCATTTATATTAAGCACTGTGCAGTAGAAAGGAAATAGGCTGACCTGCGTTTAAATGCTGTTCCCATCAGTTCATAGGAACAAAGGCCTCAGTTTCATCCTCTATAAAATGGGATCACAGAATTACCCAGAAGGTAATGATGGCCATTGTCACACTGTTTGTAAAAGCAAAAGTTTTTAAATAGAGTTAAATAAATCAGTAGATTCTCATTATGGGTCAATACATAGTCCAAAAAGAATGAGACAAATGTGTCTTATGGAAAGTTACTCATGTCATATTGTCAAATGAGCAAGATAAGTTGCAGATAGATACGTAACTTTTAAAAAGAACTTTCTTTTACTCCCATATTTTCTTTTTCTCATTTTCTTTATTTATGAAAAAGCTCAGGAAGGATTCGCTTCAAAGATTTAATGGTTATCCTTGGACACGGGAGTGGGGAAAGAAATTCTTTAAACTTATAAACTTCTTCACCTCTCTTTCTTTTTTTAAAAAAATTTTATAAATAGCTTAATTGTTTTCAAAAGGAAGAGGAAGAGAAAGAAAGAAAATCTGCTTTGTGATGATATGACAAATGTGAGGATTTATGCAAACTTCCCAGTACAGGGCTTGGCATCGAAGGGGCACTCAAGTAACATGTATAATAACAATGTGTTTTATTTGCATAATAACACATGCAAGTAATACACTAAAGGCATGTGATACCCATTCATTCATTTATTTAATCTTTCTATCATTTGTTCATTCATATCTTTCCCAGGCAACACTTAGCCCAATTCAGTTACCTCACTATTTCCATGACAGCACCAGGGATGAAGTGATTATTCTGGTCTTGGGGTAAAACTTGCTAGAACTTTGGCTCTGACCTTATCGCTCCCCCATTTCCAGCACACCCTGGGATGATACATGGCTGAGTTTGAAAAATGAGAATTACTCTGTTTTACTTACACCAGAGTTGCCTCCATGTTCTCTTTCTGTACCTGGTGCAGGCTGATTCCTACCACGGTCTCTTTGTGTGGTTGCTTCTAATTGGGGAGTTTATAACTAGAGCCTAAGGGATTACTACTTGCTCCCTTGAGAATCTGATGTTCCAAGGGCCGAGTTGGAATTGGAATAAACAATTTTCGGTAGTTATTTTCTGCTGAAGAACATTTATGCTTTCTAGAGAGGATACATTTAATTTATGTTACTGTGATTAGGGACTCTGTGTGTGTGTGTGTGTGTGTGTGTGTGTGTGTGTGCTGCCTTCTTAAAAAACAATTAAAAAAAACATTTTTCTTTTATTTGTTTTTTTCTTTTTTTTTTCTTTTCTTTTTTCTTTTTTTTTAGGCAAGGTACTGTGTGTGTGTGTGTGTGTGTGTGTGTGTTGCCTTCTTAAAAAACAATTAAAAAAACCATTTTTCTTTTCCTTGTTTTTTTCTTTTTTTTCTTTTCTTTTTTTCTTTTATTTTAGGCAAGGTACTCCTTGGTTGACCTCACGGATTGCAAGGACCTTGTCAACTTACAATCCCTTATTATTTATTTATTTATTTTTATTTTTTATGCCTACAGCACCTGGTCTTCCTAGGTGGTCTCCCATCCAAGTACTAACCAAGGCCTGACTCTGCTTAGCTTCTGAGCAGTACTAACCAGGCCTGACTCTGCTTAGCTTCTGAGCTCAGATAGGATCGGGCTTGTTCAGGGTGGGATGGCTGTAGACAAAATTTTTCTGGTTTTGAATCAGGCTGAGCATCTTTTTGTAGGTCTAATAATCTGTGCTCATGTCTAGAAAACTGACCTTGTTAACGTAATCAGCAAAAAATATGGTTCTCTGGAAAAAGAAATCCAAAGCTCATCTGAGTTTAAGGGCATATGGTCCCCAGTGTAATAAAAAAGAGGTACTCGTATTTGAATATATTTTATATTATCCCTTTAACCACTATTTATTTAAAGAAAAAATTCTGTGAGACATTCTACATAGTTCATCAAAGTCTCCTGTGACATTGAGTTCCAGTTCCCAGGGTATAAGTGAGCTAAGTTTTAATCCTTCCTTTGCTTTTGTCTCTACATTTCACTCTTCATGTGCCTGCTCTCTGCTGTTGGGGATAATCCCCTTTAAAACTTTTAGCAAACTGAACAGTTCCACAGGACTGATGTCACTTCCGACACCAGTCAAAAGTTCAAGGATCCCCAGAGCCACTCTCCTTTGTCTCCAGCTACGCCCTGGACATCTATTTCCACAATCATCCTCAGGTTTCATATCTCATTAGAATGACTCAATGTTGTAGACTGAATGTTTGTGTCCCCCCAAAATTCATTAGTTGAAATCCTAAGCCCCAATGGGATAGTATTAGGAGGAGGAGCCCTTAGGAGTAATTAGGTCGTGAGGGTGCATCCCTCGTGAATGGGGTTAGTGCCCTCATGGAGGAGACCCCACAGGGCTCTCTAGCACTTTTTCTACCATGTGAGTACACAATGAGAGGTCAGCAGTCTGCATCCTTGAAGAGGACTCTCACCAGACTCAGCCATATTGTCACCCTAATCTTAGACTCTTAATCTCCAGAACAATGAGCAATAAATTTCTGTTGTATAGAAACCACTCAATCTATGGTAATTTTTAACAGAGCAGGAACTAACGCATCAGGAAAGCACTAGAGGTACTATTACAATTCTATCGTAGCAAAAATATACAAATTAGAACCAGCTGAAGAAAGAGATACATAGGGCAAATTTTGTGAGGGTTTCCAACTGGAAGCTTCCATCGTCTTCAAGGATGCATTCTCCTTCCTGGGTCGATGCGCGATAACATGCATGGAGTATTGTCAACCTGAGAAGGTCACCTGAGCCTCCGGTATCCACAGTTTCTCTTGGAGCGTTATGACATATTGCTCATGTGGCTGATTTTTAGTTCCCAGGCCCTCCTGAAGGTTTAGGTCATACTGTTAGTCTCTAGTTCCTCCAGAGTTTAAAACTGATATGGAATTGTCTCAAAGCCCCCTTCAGAAATCACATTGTTAGATCATTCAGTTGCAGAAGCTTCCTGGCAAACAGAGACACTCTCACTAGGAAAGCCTTCCAGGGGCTTAAAGATCACCTCCCAATAGCTGAAGGCAAAGGCCAGACCTTAATTCCAGCAAAGAAGAATTAAGGTTCCTAATCAGCTGACCTTGAGATGGAGAGATCACCTGTATTTTCCAAGAGTCCTGAACATAGGAAGAGGGAGGCAGAAAAGTGAGAGTCAGAGGAAGATTTGAAGATGCTGTGATACTGGCTTTGAAGATAGAGAAAACAGGCTATAATACAAGGAAGACAGATGGCTTCCACACACTGAAGAAATCAAGGAAATGGATTCTCCACTAGAATCCTCAGATAATCAAGGAAATAGATTCTCTCCACACTCCAGAATCCTCCAAAGGGAACACAGCCCTGCTGACACCTTGACCTAGAGACCATGTTGGACCGCACTTCCAGAACTATAAGGTAACAAATGTGTGTTGTTTCAAGCCACTAAATTTGTGGTAATTTGTTACAGTAATCATAGAAAAGTAATACATCCCCAATGGTAATATTTTGCAAAACTACAATAATATCACAACCAGGATATGACGATGATGCAATCCATTGACTTTATTCAGATTTCCCCAGTTTTACTTATACTCATTTGTGTGTGTTTGTATTGTTATATAAAATTTTATCACCCATATGGGTTCACCAGCACAGTCAAGATACCCAACAGTTCCCAGACACCTTATATTGTCCCTTGTATTGTTCTTTTACAAACCCCTCTCACCCCCAAACATACTTTCCCTCCTCCTCCTCTCACCTCTATCTCATTCCATCCCTAACCCCAGGTAACCGTTAATCTGTCTTCCATTTCTAAAATATTGTCATTGCAAACATTACATAAATGGAACCATATAATATACAACTTTTGGGATTGATGTTTTTCACTCAACATAATTCCTTGGAAATTTATTCAAGTTGTTTGTTGTCTGTATCAATAGTTCACTCATTGTTACTCTCTGTGAAGTTTTGCAGCATCTTGGGAGTGATAGCAAAGGTATAACAGACATTGACAAAAGCCAAATATAATAGAAAGAAGTATGTGTGTGTTTGAAGTCTGAGATCTGTCTTGATGAGTAGAATCATTCCAATATCACCCACCATGGATGTCACATAGGTGACTAAAATTACAATGAAGAGGACACACTGAAACTCATGTTGGGCACCAAATCCCAGGAGAAAGAATTCAGTTTCTTCCGTGGTAATTTCTTGGGTCATGACTACCAAAAATTTAGAAAGGACCAAGAGCAGGACCATGAACGGAAACCTTTGTGACTTCTTGAAAGAAAAGAGACTCTTGCATTTTATGTCAACTTTTTAAATTGGATTTTCATGGCAAATACTCACAACTGGGTTTATTGCTTTCCAAATAGTTGATTGCTTTCCAAATAGTTATTAATTTATACTCACAACTGGGTTTATTGCTTTCCAAATAGTTATTTCTTTGTTTGTTTGTTTATTACACCTACAGCACCTGGTCTTCCTAGGTGGTCTCCTGTCCAAGTACTAACCAGGCCCGACCCTGCTTAGCTTCCGAGATCAGATGGGATCGGGCTTGTTCAAGGTAGCATTGCTGTAGACAGTTCATCTATTTTCTGGATAAGAAACCAACCACATCAAAAATGATATGTATGCCATGGATTCATTTTCAAAATGAAGAAGATGTCATAAAAAAAGATTGATCCTGACCTCTAATATGTGTGATTCTAAGAAACAGATTAAAACACATGTTCACTATATTAAACAGGTATCCATATTTGCTCAAAGCAACGTTCAAATATAATTTTGAACCCTTTTAACAACTTATAGTTTTTCTCAGTCATTTATCAGTTTAATCCTGATTTAAACTCCTGAAAATTTGTCTATGTAGAGATAAAGCAAAATGGTTAATCTATGTTAAGTGTACACCAGTGTTTCTTGTACCATTTTAATTTTTATAAAAGTTTTATATTTAAAAATAAGAAGTTAATGAAAAACATGGATATGAAACCATTTCCATGCAAAGACAAAGGGAGAGAATTTACCATCAAGAGTTGCGCTCTAAAGATGCTTCTAAAGTCTGATGTTCAGAAACAAAGAATGTGATCTCTGAAGAAAGTCTCAGAAACAAGAAGAAACGGTGAGCTTAGAAACTGGTAAACATGTGGGGAAACTGGAATCAGTAGAGACAGTATACAATATTAACAATATTGTCCATAGAGAAGCAACAAACTAAAAATATCAGCTAATGTTAATATTGTTATGGCGCGGACGATTCTGAGACCCACGGAACCAATTGAGATTAATTATGAGCCTTTATTAGCCGGCCGGCGACTGACTCTCTACCACTGCAGGGCTAGAGGAGATCAGCCCCGAGCTTTCAGAGCAGGCAGCTGATAAAGCTCAAGACCATATCCTGGTGGTCTCCTGAACAAGCCAGCAGATTACAGAAGTGGAAGTTGGCTTTTAGCATATCTTTGCCCGGAACAACACCCTTAATTAACAAGTAAATGGATTACAGAAGCAGACATTGGCCATCTACATATTTTATACAACACACTTCCTAAACCACACACAAGCAAGTAGGACAACTTCTGATATCTAAAGATATTTCTTCCCTGTAGCTGACTTAGCTAGTTTGCTCACTTGAAAATTTTCCACCCTTAACAAATATATCAGATTGGAGAATTTTATAGATTTAAGGTGCTCTAAAATTCTTGTACTTTAGGCTTTTACTTAGATATATGTATTTACTAATTACAAAGATGAAAATAAAAAGTTTTTTTAAGCTGAGGGGAATAAATGGAATTTTAACATCAATCATTCACAATAAATATAATAAATGAGATGAAAAGAATAATAGAAAATGTCAAGATAAATAGAAATCACTTGAGACAGCATAAATAAATCCAATTAAATTAGTAAGGAAAGTAAATATAAAAAGACTAAACTCATCATAAAAATTTAAAGATTGTTAAGTCGGATTTTAAAATTGTAAAGAAGCCATGTACTATAATAGACAAAAAATTGAAAAAGAACTAAAGAACTAATGATTAAATAAATAATGATATAGAAAAGAAGAGAATATTATGCATTAATGAAAATAAATCACAAGAGCTAGATTTTTAAATCTAAATCTTAAACTCATAATGTAGAGGAGAAAGCTCACAGTGCATATAATATTGGGTCTTCAGTGGTATTGGTGACATTTTATGTCCATAGCTATTTGTTGGTTACACATGTTCATTATATATTTTGTATGCCTTCTTGTAATTATTAAATATTTTTTGTATGTATTTTACCCCCCTTAAATTTCTGTTAAGTGTACATTACAGACATACCATCTCTCAACAAGTCAAATGCTCCCAGTTTTTTAAAAATCAAAGCCACACTTCCTTTATAAGACATTAGAGAAACAAGGATATTACCATTTTAAGTTTAAAAGAGGTCAATTCGGTTTAAAGAAAAATCAAGCAACTCAAGTTGCTAAAAACAATGTTCAGAGGTTTAGGGCCTGAAATGGTGAATTAGTTACACCTACAGTCCTCAAGTTCAATTGTTATGGTGATTCTCTGTGACAAAAGTCAGAGTTAATAGCGTCCAAAAAGAAAATAGGAGTCAAACACTGTTTGACTTTAGGGGATGATCTCATCTTGTTAGAGGATCTAGAAACCTTCCCTGAAGTAAGTGGATTTAATATTGGTTCTAGAAATATGTTTGGGCTCCTGTAAGGTGGAGATCTGGATCTGTACAGCCAGGCAAGGCAACTCTGAGCAGAGGACGTACTTAGAATAAAAGCGTGGTGATGCCCCACAAGCTAAGGACAAGAGGCAATAAAGACTCACGTTATATACAATTAAGAGGTGTTGCTCTAATTAGCAGCACTTTTATAGTAAATCACAACAGACTTTTCCTGTATATCATTCAGAGATATTTTGTTACCCTAACTTTATTGAGTTGTAATTGAGATACGACATGGTGTAAGTTTAAGGTGTGCAATGTGATGATTTGATACACGTATATATATTGTGAAATGTTTACCATAATAAGGTTAGTTATCACTTCCTTCACCTAACACAGTTACCATGTTGTTGTTATGGTGAGAACATTTAAACTCTACTCAATAGCGATTTTCAAGTACACAATACAGTACTATTAACTATAGTCGCCCTGCTGCACATCAGAGCCCCAGAACTTATTCATCTTATAACTGGAAGTTTAAATCCTTTGACCAAGACCTCATTTCCCCTACTCTCTAGCCCCTGGCCACTACTGTTCCACTCAAAGATATTCTTAAGTTATCTAAATTTTGAGTCTAGACCTGACGTCTCCCTTCCCCAAAGTGTTGGCTGGTAACTAAGAGGGATTATTTCACTTGCAAAACCTATGCTGAGCACTGACAATAACGGAGGCATTGTTTAGGGATACTGACTGTCCTAAGTGCTCCCGACTCAACCGTCAGCAGATCCTCCTTTTTCCACTTTTGGTTTTCTGGAGGAGGATTTTCTGGAGTCTGCAAAGAACCAAAGATGAAAAGTCCTGGTGTATTTCTCTGACTTTCACGCTTGGATTGTCCTTCCAGACACTACAATGGGTGTCTGCTTAGAATAATACACCAAGGGTTACTTTTTAAAAAGTTTTATTTGTTAGAATACCCCTTTCTACACTTGTAGCAAGGTGACATTTTCGCTTTTACTACAAATGGGGAATTGATTTTTGAGGGCTGTAAAATTAGTGCCTATTCCCATGAGAATCTCAGACGCTGGAGGCTGGGTTGAGTGTATATAGTATTGAGTGTCCCAACTGAGACTATAAAAAAAATTTTTTTTTTCAGGTTTCTATCCTCTAGAGACTTTTTGTCTGATTTACTTCCATGAGCTTGGGGCCCATTTTTTTCCACTTGGGGCCGATCTTGAATTTTTTAAACCTAGTTTTGCATCCTGGATCTTTTAATTACTTCAGTTCCTCATCTGTAAAATAGGGCTAATGCCCATGCTGCCTCAGTGGTATTTACATATAGAAGAGCAAACACACATGTATGAACTCATCCTCCGACTCTTGGTTTAGGGAAATAGGCATCTGCTCCCTTCTCACCCTTGTGACTTAGATCTTTCTCTCTTTCTTCCCATAACCAATGGGCGTATATCTATCCTTTGTCCCTAGGTGCTAAATACTAATGTGAATCACTTGTTTGCTTTGGATGGTGAGCTCCTTGACAGCCAGGTATATGTCACATCCAGCACAGTGTCTGTAATTAGTATGTATCCAAATCTTCATGGAATAAATAAATGAATGTACACGAATGAAAGAGGCATGATCTCCGATAGAGAAATCTACCCCTTCTATTTTATAGTGATGACTACTCAGAGCCCAAAACCAATACCCAATAATAGTAATGTTTATTGAGGGCTTACCATTTCAAGGCATTGTGTCGAAAGGTTTTACATGTACTGTCTTGTTTACTTGGCACACGACCCTATGGCCTGTTATTATCTGCATTTGTAGATAAAGGAGCTAAGGCTCAGAGATGCACAATGTGAGCCAGGATTACACAGATAGTATGGGATGCACATGGAATTAAAATAAGTCAGTTTGAATCCAGAATTTAAGATCTCAGTTGCCAGGCTGAGCCAGATTCAGAGTTTAAAAAAAACCAAAATGAAGAACTCTTCTGTTTTCTTGAGGAAACATATAAATTCAGCGATTCTATGTTAAATGTTCTATGTTAATGCAATAGATATTATTAGCACCTACTATGTGCTAGGCACTGGTCTAGGCACTGGGGACACATAGAAAAGAAGAACATATGGATATGACAGATGGAATTTGCATCCTTGTGTGTGTGGTGAACAGACTATGAACTAAGAAATCGACTAATAAACAAGACAATTTCTGATGAGGATAAGAGTTGTAAGGAAAATAACATACTGTGGAGGGATATACCTGAAAGGAGACACTACCTTAGTCAGGAGAAGCCTCCTCATAGAGATGGTTCAGTGGGAAAAGCAAACCCAACTGAAGGAAATGATGGTTCAAAAACTTAGAAGTGGGAACAGGAATGAGCTGGGCTTGATTCCTGCTTGATTCCTGGGCTCAGTTTTCCTGAGGACAAGAAAACAGCCTGGAGGGACTGATGTGGAACCCGTCACACACTGGGTTAGAGATCCAGGCAGGGCCTTATCATATAGGGCCTTTGAGGTCTTGGTGGGAAGTTTGGATTTTATTGTAAGAGGGATAGGAGTCATTGTAAGTTTAGTGAGGGAGGTGACATTAGATCATTGCATTGGAGAGATCGTTCTTGCTGCTGATTGGGATATAGATTATAAGAGAAAGAATGAATATCTGGATGCCATAGATGAAGCTCTGTGGTTTTTTGATTGAAAGATATTAGTAGTTTGAACTAGAGCAGTTAGAATCAGGGAAATGGAGACAATGATACTTAACTGCACTATTTCAAGAAGGTAGCATTTACAGTGTTGCAAGAAGCGACACCCAACAGAGAAATTTGGACACTCAGACAACTTTGTTAGAGGAAGGAGAATTTATTAGCGAGCAGAGTGTGTGGGCTTAACAGCACCAAAGCATGAGCTCCCCTTGGTTAGATTTCTTACAGTTTTTATACCTCTGCAGTGTCCATGCAAGGGGCAGGGGATTCCTTTGTCTGAGGTTCTAGGTGCACCTCATGACTCAGGATGGGGGGGTGGGGTGGAGTTTCTGGTGGCTGCTGCAAGGGGGAAGGAATTCCCAGACCACTAGTCCTTTTTATTTACAGATTATTTGTCTTGTAGGTATTTACTTCCATGAGCTTGGAGGCCATTCAGAGATCTATAGGATGTAGTTAATCTATAACCGGCTGAGTCGGTCATTTCTGTAAGCCCTTCCCTTTGCATTTTTTAGATGCCTTCTCTCTTAACAGGAATTGCTATTGGTTTGAATCCAGGAAGTAAAAGAAAGAGAGAAATGAAGTTTGATTCTTAGATTCTTGTTCTGATCATTTGTGCAAATGGTGGTGTCATTTAACTGTGATGGAGAAGACAGAAGTAGGTAAAATAAAGTGCAGATAAATCAGATAAGACATTACCAATCCCGCCTCCGCCCCCAAAAACAACCCTCAGTGTAATTGAAACATAAAAAGGATTTTAAAAGGCTTTGTTAGGGACTTGGTAAAAAATGAAGATGGTGAAAAGCTGCTAAGAGGAATGCAAGGAGATAAGGACCGGATTCCTTCAGTCCCTTCATAGAACTTCTCCTTAGTTGAGTCACAGAGTAGATATCCCTCAGAGCTCCCTGAGCAGTGTGGGGCAGGTGGTGATCCAGGTGGCTTGCTGCAAAGGCAAACAGAAACCAAACAACTAGAGCCCCCACCTCGCAGCTGCTTAAATTACCTGAGAGGAGGCCAGCTGGAGTCCATGAGCTTGAGGTCACCTGAGTTCTTGATAGCCTCCAACAGACATGAGCAGATACCCGGTGATGAATCCAACAGCTCTAAGAGAATAAGAGTAGCTGGCATTCAAATCTCTTCCTTTCTGATGGTCTATAGTCTGTTATGGAGGTAGCATAAGCAAGGTACATTGATTCTTTTCACCTGAAACACCTACCTGTTTATTACCACTCCATCATGCTAAACAAAGAAAGCTCTGATTCATTTTTGTCACCTTCTTCCTGTCAGCTGATTCTATGCTTTGACCCTCAATTCTTAAAATATCTTTTGACAGGTGTCTTTCCCAAGCTAATGTCCCCATGATCATTTGAGTAGTTCTATGAACAGTGAAAGGTGAGATTTATAGCGATACCGTCTTACTGGATTTTTCTGTTGTCCAAATGACTGATGCCTCATGATTTCCACTTGGCCAAGGGATTTCGTTACAAAGGGTGTTAGAGGCTCAATCATTCAATCTGTGGCAAAGTGCTTGTGGGGTAAAAAGTGAGCGGAGGAAATGCAGAATGGGGTTCCTAAGCTGCAAAGCCTCAGCCTGGACGGGCTCACTCCACCTTCATGACTGTAGGCGCACGCTAACCACAGAAAGGCTGCGGCTGCTCTGGACCTGATGGCTGTTGTTGTTGTTGTTGTTGTTTTTTATCTCTATCCCGAGGGACTGTGCCGATGGGCGGGGAGCAGAGGGCTTCTCCAAATTGCAGGCCCACCAGGCCCTCCTTTGAGAGAGGGGCTCACTGGGTGTGTGGACACACGCAGCCCTCAGTGGAAAGGGGCCTTGGAATGGGACAGCCGGGACAGCCGGCCCTGCCCAAAGGCCCGTCACCAACCTGTGCTGAACGTGGATTCCGAGGGCGGAAAGGCGGCGGCAGCAAAGGGCGGTGGGGACGCGGGGGAGTGTGGCAGACTCCCTCCCCTCCTTTTTGCTCGGCTCCAGTAGCCGGTGCTGGGCCACATGCGTGGGCTGGCTGGGTGCAGTTCTCCAGCAGGAGCTTTTCCAGGTCCATGGACTCCAGGTGGAAAGATGCCACGCTACGGGAAGGTCTTGTCCCAGCTTCTTCAGGACCAGTGCGAAAGAGTCTGGCAGGCCCCTGTCCCCAGGGGAACAAACGATGCTAGAGCATCTCTAGGAGTTGGACCACATGAGATCGAGAAAATCAACCACTGCTTTCCACTCCCGCTTGCAACTCTGATATCAGGCAGAAGAAATCATCTATAAGATCAACCAGTTGGAGGAATCTGGGCTCTTGTTAGACCTATCTAAGAAGTCAATGAAGCTTTTCTATTTGACAAGTCAACGAAGCTTTCCTTTCTTTTAATTTCCTATCTAACTTCCGTATTGATATTATTACCATTTCAATACTCAGTCCTCCCAGACAACTCATTCTTGTTTTCTTAGCTTTGATATGCATGGCTAACCCTTAGGACCAGTGAGTAATGTAATGTATTGTTCTTCATTGTCCCATTTTGTACCACTCTGGTCCAAGCTCCCTCTGCTTCAGCCCTCGTAACTTCTTTCAAGTCATCACATTCCCTTCTGACCCAGGGTTTTTGCCCTAGAACCCAGGTCTGAAATTAAGAAACCAAACCAAACCAACCAACCCAAACAAAAAACCCAAAAGAGTTTAGAAGAAGGGAATGAAATGCTTCCCGGTAGAATTTCAGACAACAGATAAACCCATACTGCTGACCTGCTTGGAGCTGGGAATGGAGTTTGTGCTGTTGTGCTTTTCTTCTCTGTAGCTAAGATCAGCTGAAACCTGCCCCCCATGAATCAATGAGCAAAAGCACAGACACTAAGCATCAGTATGCCACTGAGAGCATCCACTCATCCTTCCACTACTGGAACACTCTTGTCTTAAGACATGCTTAATTCCGTACAAAGCTTGAAAAATGCCTTGACACAGCCCAGGGTATACCTTATAGAATACAAATCCTTTCTTTCAGTAGGGTCATCCAATAATGAGGTTTGGTAGTTCTGCTTTGGTGAGTAGGAATTAGGCAAACAAATGTTATAGTCAAGGACAGGCTATTCTTTAACAGAGCACAAGTCACCTAAAATATAGAAACTTTACTTGCTTGATCAGTTGCTGTTGGAACTGAATGTAGGAAACACTTTTAAGAAATTTTATAACTTGGAAACAAATATATAAGTACATACCAATTACACATCTGCAGCACAATAATGAAAATATGAAATGAATATTGAAATATTTAAAGCAATTTAATGTTAATTATACTCAATTTTTAAAGGAAGAGAAGTTCGAACATTCAAAAAAGGAATAAGCAAAAAAATCTGTGCTTCAACAGGAACTTCTAAATACATGATTCTCTTCTAAGAGCAATTGCACTGTTTTTCAAAAAGTTCTCCATCCGAGGTCTCTACGTGGTACACTTCTTTCTATGTCCACTTCATCAGTAAAACTGTTACGTGGCTCCTGTTAATACCCCAGTGACTGAGAAGAATTGACTAAGGACTATCAGTGAGGCTAAGTCCAAGACCCTATTGAAAAAAGAAAAACATTGGGCTCCCATTTCCTTTCTGTCATCCTGGCCAAAGCCATCTTATGTTTTTTCTGTTTCTTATCTGCACAGGAAATCTTCAGAAAAGGGGTTATTATGGCACTGACAGGTAAGCGAGGAAAGCTTTTGCAGCTTCACCAGATCTTTTCAGAGATTCAATTACATGTAAGTCAAGGCTGATATTCTGCATCATGTTTTGTAGTAAGCTTCCTTCCAGAGGGCTGAGGATTTCTTCAAAGACCTTTGGGAAAAGTCAACAAAATCATCAGGAGGTGAGACTCTAACGTAAAAGGAGCTACTCCATGGAATATTTGGTCTTGGTTCAGGGCATGTTGTCCTTTTAAGCCATACTTGAAAAATGTCTTTGCTGTCCAGTGGAGGGAGTCAAATGTACTGAATTGTTTTATAGCAGGTGAGTTCACGTTTTTTTTTTTGATGGAGGGGATTGAGTTTTATGGAGGGGGATTTACTCTCTTCTGTAACCCCAATGGTCACCTTGCCTTTTCTCTAGTGATAAAAAAAAAGCTTCTCTGAGTTTTTATAAGATAAAGCATACGATTGTATCCAACCCTTCCAATATCTACCTACCCATCTTATTTTATAATGTGAAAGATATTTTTCTAGGCCCTGGGGATACAGCAATGAAAGGACAGAGGTGAGACCTGTCCACGTGGAGTTCCTGGTATATCTTGGAGGATGTGTATTAAAGAATGTATTACCCAATATGTTATTTAGTCATGATTGTGGTAAAGGTCATGAACGGAGAGAACCAGGTGCTGCAATAGCATGTGATGGATTTAGTCATGGAGATCAGGGAAGACGAAGAGGAAGAAAAGGCATTTGAGATGGTCCTTGGAGTGTGAATGAAAATTGACAAGGCGATATGAGGGGAAGTGATGGTTTGGAAAAATATTCTAGGCAGAAGAAAAAGTGGCATAGGAAATGAAATGGTCAAATAGCAAATGAAGGAAGGCCAAGTATCTGGAAGGCAGAAAAGGAGGAAGGGAGTGGTAGAGAATCTGAAGCTGGAGTAGTATTTAAGGATGAGACTAGCATGGGCTCGGCCTTGTTGGCTTCATTCAACATACTCGTCAAATAGCAAATGAAGGAAGGCCAAGTATCTGGAGGGCAGAAAAGGAGGAAGGGAGTGGTATTTAGGGATGAGACTAGAATGGGCTCGGCCTTGTTGGCTTCATTCAACATACTGTGTGTGTGTGTGTGTGTGTGTGTGTGTGTGTTTCCCAATCCTAAAAGGGAAAGAAAGTTATTAAGCCCAGGTCACTGGTTGTTGGTTTGACCAGCGCAATGTGTTCTAGGGAACTGTGAATGCTTCCAGATGAGTATGAATTTTCAGTTCCCTCAGGCCTCACCACTGTTGGTCAGTCACCTCTGAGGTCAGTAGACAGGGAATCAGTCATCCCTGACTGACTGAGTCAGATAATTATGTCCCGCTGGACCCTGAAGGCATCTACGTTTGCAATGCTGGTCCAGATGATTCTAGAGTCTCTCCTACCATTTAAGTCCTATCACATGTAAAAGGTCAAAAAAGACAAATGATACGCAGCCCTGTTTTTAAGAAGCTTGCAATTTAGTAGGGCAGCAAAGCATTTTCACTAAGAAGTGCCTAGAAAGCAGTAGGTAAATGGTAAGAATTGCTATCATTGATATTGTTGATGTTGTCTCCTGCAGAGTGTCATGTCCATGCTGGGCATACAGGTGCCTCTTAATAAACAGTTGTTGGGTGAATGATTCACAAGCCAGTGGATAGTCTGGGAACTGGCAGTGAAAGAAAATGAGAGCTGTGAGTCGAGGGACTCTGTTATTACCTGAAAGTATCTCTAAACGCCTGCAACAGGGCTTTTTCACATACTGCAATCCATGCTTGGCACACAGTGACCTCACCAGAGGTGCTACTTTGTGATAATCATGGCTTGGCATAATGGGGAACAGACTAAAAAACAGAAACAGGAGATATAAAACTTAGACCTATAGAGAAATGCAAAGGAGTTTTCTTTCTCCATTACTAAATAAAATTATATCAGCAATGCAGACCCAACTATGACCTTGTACTTCTATTCCGGGAAGTTAGAAACTCTTGCCAAGTACTCTTATCTCTTAACTCTGTGAGCCTTGTGGGTGGCAAATGTTTGAGAAGTGCTAAGAGAATAAGTATTTACTCCATCAAAAGTGTTTATATGTGGCCAGCTCAAATGAATGTATGAAGTTTTCTACCATTCTGAATTACCTAGAGAGCTGAAGATATCCACCCTCCCTCTCTGTCTCTCTCTCTCTTTCTCTATTGATCTGCCTCCTGCATCATGAATAGATGAGTATTCAATAAGTTCTAGGCATGGTATATGAGGCAAAATCCTAGGACAAAAATAAGAAGTGAGGACAGATGGGTTTTTATCCAAAATTTTCACTAATCAGCCAGATGACTTTCTGGGTTTTTACCTTCTTTTTGAGAAAATATAAATAATAATTCTGTCTTGTTTTGCTGATTTTAAAGGACTAACATGAGACAAAGCATAAGAAAATCCCATGAATATGTATTAGATCTCTTTCCTTCTCTATCTCAAATTGGCTTAACCTAAGAGAATGTGGAAAGTGTTTCCAGTGGACATTCTGGAGAGACTGACACCCAAAGTGTTGGCATTTCCTCTTTTTTGAAGGCATGCTTGCCTGTGACCCATTGGTAAAGTATATCCAGATACCATTTGGAAATGGAAGCAGGGTCGGGATTTCGTTGTCGATTGTTTTGTAACTTCAGCTCTACATATGTAGACACAGATAGGTATTTAAATTAAATTACAATTAAATTTCAACATAAGTTGGTTACCTAAGTGATACTTTTTTTTTTTTTGCCAACAAACCAAAAGCAAAGAAAACCATCGACAATCCCTAAATCCACTGAAATCTGGAAACTGAATCACTGGCATTTTTCGAAGATTTCATTTCATTTACTCACAATTGTTACATCCTCATTTTTCTTTCTTCCCTTCCTGCCATTGATGTTAATAGAAAGATAGCAGCCTTTTGAGAATTCCGGTTCATATTTTTCCTCGGAGATCCCAAACCTAGGGCTCTGCTCTGGACTCTACAGGAGGCTATTATAAGCGAGAGCCTTTGCTCCTATCATGGATTGTTTCTATCACTCACTGGTGTTTGATTTGGAAGTTCAGGTGCCCAGTGAACCAGTCTTTGAAAAGGGACCGTTCAGTGTTGCAGGTGGTCAAGACCTGCAAAGAAAAAGCTTACATCAGATATAAATAAGCTCAAGCATCAAACAGGGAAAACATTTATTTATTCTTCTATGAAGGCAATCATTCAAGAAGTGCTTGAGTATCTGTTTTGTGTAAGAAACTATGAGGAATAAAAAAGATATACAATCCCAGGTCTCAAGGAGCTTACAATTTAAGAAGGCAATAAGACCTTTTGCTAAGAAGTATGTATATGAGCAAATAGATATGAAAAAGTGTGTAGGATTGGAGCGGAGGCTCAGTCACCATTAGCCCTTGGGTACAGGAGACTATGGTGTCACGAATGAGGATTTTGGCAAATGGAAAGTTTGGCAGATTTAGTAGAGATTGTAGGGGTCAGAATACCATTTCCACCAAGTGGACCTGGAAGACTTGTGAATGGGGAAAAAGGCATTTGAGAGTTCTAACAAAGAGTTCTGTGCACAGAAGTGCGTTCAATGTTAAGTACTTTACTTAACTGGATGTATTTTACTTTATGCATTTAAAAAGCGTTATCCTAAGAAGGAGTTTGGAGGCTTCTCCAGACAGACTACCAAGATTAAGAACTCTTATGAATGCTATTTTACTCAATACCTTTCGAAGGTTTAATTCTAGTTGGGGTTGTTGCCATTTTGAATGTTATTTTTGTGGTTATTCTATGTCATTGTTTCTAAAAGTGGATTTCAGAGAAACTTGGGGTCCTCTAGGACTTCTTTTTTTCAGGGGATCTGCAAAGTCAAAACTATTTTCATAGTACTTCTAAGACATTTATTTGCCTTTTTTATTCTTATTCTCTCACATCTGTACCACGGATTTTTTCTGGAGGCTACAAACATGGAATGACATCATCACTCTGATGTTAAAATGTATTGACTTTATTTTTATTTAGTTAATAATAAGTTAATGATTAATTAAGAAATATTTTTGAATGTCTGAAATATAATTTCAAGTAACATAGATATCAATGAATATAACCTATGTAAACACAAGTTCTTTGAGGTTCTCAGTAACTTTTAAGAGTGTAAAATGGTTCTGTGGCCAAAAAGTTGGGAACCACTACTCTGTGCCCTATAAGAGGTTCACTGAATTTGGAAATGAATTTGGAGAAGAAACTGGTATTATGACTGAGTTCTCCAGTTAGTCATGGCATGGCTAGTGGAAGGCTTAAGAGGCAGGGGTGTTCTGCATTAGCCACAATTCTGGATCATTAACAGCATGCCTGAAGAGCATGCCATGTTTCCTCACTGGGCCTCTCTACACAATGACATGAGGTGAGTTCCAGGGTCCTTCTAGGTGTGAAATTCATCCTGTAATTCAAGGAGTCTCAGATTCACTTGAAAGGCTGTGTGATGTGGGAGCACGGGTCAGTGATTGTTTTTTATAAAGTGCCAGATAGTAAATATTTTGATTTTCGGTCACAAGTACTCAATTCTGCTGTCGTAGCTTAAACGCATTCATAGGTGGTATGAAAATGTATAAACATGGCAGTGTTCTAATAAAACTTTACTTACAAAAAGAGGCAGTAGGCAGGATTTGGCCCTTGAACTGTAGTTTACTGACCTTTGATTTAGAACAAATGTTCTGAAATCAAACTACCCAGGTTAAAACTACTGGTACCACTTATTAGCAGTGTAATTTTATGCAGGTTATTCTTCTTCAAGCCTCAATTTTATCCTTTGTCAAGAGGGAATAATTATAGCACTTATCTTATGTAGTTACATGCAAAGCAGTTGACAGTGCCCAATCTCTGGCAAGCTTTCGGTAAATATGAATTCTTATTATTGGTGGTAACCAGACTCTAAATCAGTATGCTTTAAAAGATCGTCTCCCAAGTGCTTCGTTATTACCTGAGTAGAGAACCAGTCTCGGTTCTCCTCTTCGCTCATTTTCATTGGTATGTGGCTCATCTGTGTTATATAGAGAATCCAAGGACTTTCAAGACACCTTTTGGAGAATCAAAGGAAGAAGTGAAGACTCCTTGGGGTTTTATGGTTCCCATCACTGGGCTTGCATAAATGTTGGCAGAGCTGGCTGAGTATGGAAGGAAGTGCAGGTGACTCAAAGGTTCCAATGAAATAGTGGTCATTATTTTTCTCTTTGAATGCCCTTTATATCTAGAAATGACACCTTAGGCATTTGGTTACATTACCTGACTTGAGGCCTCATATGTGGGAGCAGTGCCCCAAAGTTTGCTGCAGTATTGGTGCAAGGAACAAAAAATGTCTAGTTAATTAGGGCACATGCAAAGTGATTGATAGCCTGGGCTTTGTCATCAGGTAGAGCTGCATTCGAGTTCTGATTTGACACTGCCCCTGGCCCTTACTTGCTCTGTAGCCTTGGGCAGGTGATTTAATCTCTCTGAGCTTCAACTTCCTTAGCAGGAATAGAAAATGATACCGTCTACATTACAGGATTGTGGGAGGGTTACATCAAATAAGATAACACATGTAAAGCCTTTAGCAAAGTGCCTGATGCATATTAGATATCATCTATTATCTTTATTATTACGTGGGATTTAGAATAATAATGTGAAATACTAAGGGTAGAATAAATTGAGAAGTTGAAGGGGGTTATTCAGTGGAAAGTTATTTTGGTTTTGGGAAAATTTTTAGTCATAAAATAACTTAAAAATAATTCCTTTCCTTCCATTATCTTTGGCAAGGATTATGATGGCAACTGGATTACAGTTTTAAAAGTTTTGGGGATCAGAGAGAATAGTGCAATTGAGAATTAAGAAAATAGAAGGTTGAACAATCTTTTTTTCCTAAAGAGCTCTTCTTATTCAACTATTTCAACTCCCCTCACCCATTTTCCCAGGTACAGGGAATGGGGCATGGTGTCATAATCTCATGCTAATCACACAAAGATTAAATAAGGAATTTACTTGACAAAATACATGAGCAGCAAGGTTCCAAAGACTCCATAGAAAGGACCAAATGTGACAATGTAGCAGATGTAAAAACTGCTGACCCAGGCAATGTCTTGCAGAAAGAAATGCTTGAAAATTAGAAATGGCTTCACGTCCCCTTCATGGGCTTGGGCCATTTCATGTACTGGCCAAATCTCATGTTCCATTAATTATACGCTCTATCTGGAAGGGACCGAGCATTTTCATTTTTCATTTTCTGTTTTAGCTTCAGAGAATGAGTCAAGTTACTCGCCACCCAATACCTTCGGAAGCACATTGCTACTATGTAGTCTAGGTTGAAATGTACAGGAATGAAGAAGAAAACCTCAGCTGAAAAAGAACAAGAATAAAAAGATGGTGAATAAATGAGCAGGATGTGACCTCAGTGCAGGTCTACAGGAGTTTCTCCTTAACATGCCACCCCTGCAGTGTTCCCCCTGAGAAAGTGAACAAGGCGAAGGTCCACACCACATTCTGGACTCCACGGTGTTTTCTGAGTCTTTGAGGCTGAACCAGGAATTCGGTTCATGCTCCCCCGAGGAGACTAGGGAAGCTTTGAAGATCTGAGTCATTCTGGATGGGAATGACTATCCTCTATCTATTATCTATCTATCTATCTATCTATCTATCTATCTATCTATCTATCTATCTATCTATCTATCTATCTATCATCATCTATCCATCTTCTTCATCATCATCATCTATCTATCTCTACCTATTTATCATCTATTTGTCTGTCTCTGTTTACCAAAATATCTTCTACAGCTGTATGTAAGCCATGGGAACAGCTCGTTTTCCCACACGTAGAAGTACTACAGGTGCCTTTTATTC